TCTGTTGGTGACATTTGCTAATGGTTTATTGCCAACTATAATTTCCACCTTGCAACAGGCAGCAACAGTCTTTTCCACCTGATTTTGCAAGATTTGTTTGTCAAAAATGTTCTAGTGATAATCTACTGATCAAAAACATCTATTACATATTTCTATATTCAATTTATACATTTGATACAGTAGCTCTTATCATTTAGTTAGCTGGTCTGATTATTTAAAAGTTCAACCATTAGTTGAACTATTTTTTGTAGTAGTATTAATTCTAAAATTGTAGTAATTCCAAGTAAAACATTTTAGAAAATGACATCAAAAAACCCATGCAATCTGCTGATTCAGTGCACTGACTGAGGTATCTTTTCCATGGACTTTCATTCACTTTTTCCTTGTTGATCATTCCAAGATGGCAGCACTTTATTTTGTATTCACAGCTTGAAATTCATGATTAAGAAGATGTATATACTGCCCCATTAATTATTCTCAGTAAAAATTAAGCTACTGTTACTAGAGTAGAAACTATTACTCCATAACATCAGTTTGGCAACTTCCTTATGAGTTAGCTATCTTCCTCTTCACTCTGTCATTTGAGAACTCAAACAGTCTCTTTCTGTTTGTTTCCACAACATCAAGTATTATGTTGTTTTTATAATGCATCTCTTGCTGGATAATTAATTGCATCTAAAGTGATTAATAATGAAAACTGTGTGATTAGTCAGTTTAATTTTTAAGCTCCAAAAGTCACACCTTTTATTTTTCTCAAATCATAGAAATTAGTGTTTGTACATGCAACACATAATTATTATGAATTAAGTACAAGGGAATGATCATATATGACTGTCCTTGACATAGAAAGTGTGAAAACCTCTGTAAACCTTTATAAAAATACATATATTATTGGCAGCTAAGTTTCAGTCAGTGTAGGTGGGACAGAGGCTTGTTTCCCCTCCACAAGTTTTGCAAAAAGGTCCAGAAAGCTCTGCTGAAATGCAGCCTGCTGTCGTCTGGCCTCTGCAGCTTCTGCTCTTTCCTCAGCCAGTTCTCTCGCCCGTGCCGCAGCCTCTCTCGACTCTTGCTCTGACAGCATCTGTAAGAAATGATCCATTGCAGCGTTGGCTTCCTTCCTCCTGGCCTCCTCCAACTCCCTCATTTCCTTCAGTGCCAACATAACAAGTGTGTCTCCCCTTTTCCTCTTTCCTAGCATGAAGACATTAATAAATCTATACTTAACAATCCGGTCTTAAACACTTACATTGCAGCGATTGCACTAATTGTACTACGCATAAACATTTTCACAGCACAGTTTACAAACTTCACAGAGTTAAACGATGTGTTTGATTGTAATGTTGGTTGGGCTACTAGATTTGGCCACTAACTTTGTACCAATGCTTATCTGCTAAATAGCTAACGTTGATGTACTTATCATGATTTATAACTTTATTTAAAAGCTACTTGCCTTTTACAGATATGTCAGTGTCACTGGCCTCCGAATCTTTGCTTTCCACATTTCTAGTGCATGCTGGTTTGTGGCCAAGGATTGCATCCATTGACCCATACCATTTACCTGTCCGTTGGTCAGAACTATTTAGGTTGTTGTGGTCTTTAATCTTTTTGTAGTCTTGTTTCAGCTTTTTAAGCTTTTCCCGACACTGCTTAGCTGAGTGGTGGATCCCGACCAGCAGCAGCTGTGCTGAGATGTTGCTGTACACTTTACTGTTACGCTTTGACGACGCAAAACCTCTCTGGATTTCCTTGCTGGAGAAAATTCTCAGCAAGGCTTGTACCTCACAGTCGGTCCACTTTTCTGAATACTCCATATTTGAAGAAAATTATTACAGTAAGATTTAGCTAATACAAGACCGAGTCTTCTTTGTCATTCGTTTATGCATTTGAGAAATGACGGGTCGCAGCACCTCTTTGCTGCAAAAGGAACAGAGTAGTTCCTCAAACGGTTCCTGAAACGGGGATTAGGTTCTGCATAGAACCGTTTTATTAATCTTTCACAATTCAGGGTTTGTAAAGAGCTTGATTTTAAACGATGGGGCAAACTGCAAACCCGCAGCATAGTGGTGTTGATCATTTTGTGTGATTATATTTAAGGCTTTGACATAGCACCAAAAAAGGCCTGTTTGTTTCTCTTGGGCAGAAAGAGTGGAAATCAGTTCTGTAATATCCAATTGTGACAGCTTTGGCTCAAACTATCATAGGTGAACCTCAGGGAAAACTTACACCACAAAAAAAGTTCTTACTCAGTATTTTTGTCTTGTTTTACAGTACAAAAATCTAAACATTACAAAATCAAGATACATTTACTGGAGATACAAAATAATGGTATAACTAGTTGCTTATTAGCATGCATATTGGCTGTTTATTAGTACTTACAAAGAACATAATACCTTATTCTGTAATTAGATTTGTTAACAACTACCTTAATAACTATTAAGCAGCAAATTAGGAGTTTGAGGCAAAATTTGTAGTTAATAGTTACTTTATAGTGAATATTGGTCCCTAAATTAAAGTGTGACCAAAATGACATAAAATGTCTGCCAAGGGGGAAAGAAAAATAAACTTCCCTTCCCTTTGAATTAAGTTTTATTTTCCTTACCACTTCACTTTTTAAGTATAAACTAAATTTTGATAATTATTTTCAGAAAACAAGACTTACCCTGTTTTGCATTTTCAGTAAATTTATCTTGATTTAAGATTTTTATTTTTATTTTAGATATTTGTGCTGGAAAACAAGAAAAAAAAAATACTAAACCGCTTTTTTAGTGTAAGATGAGTTGTTTTTTTAACCACCTCATGTCTTCTCAATAACAATATTTGTATTTTTCAAAATATTGGCAGTTTGAGCAGACGGATTGCTCAAAAATGAACATATATTATTTGTGTGTGTGTGTGTTTGTGCGTGTTATAATGGTCTTAATTTTCATCATCCAGCATTTCACTCAGTGCTGACATTCAACATCGATCCTGTGACTTGGAAGTACTTCACAAGAAACAATGATGTTGGCTTTGGCTATAGAGTGATACAGAGAGATACATCTAGGTGAGAGAAAAAGAGTTTGAATTTTTTTTTTAAATGTATATATTTTGTTTATTTATTTAAGACTATTTTGTATACAAGAAATGCCGGTGTGAACAACCATTACAGAACACTGACCCATCGCAGTTCATAAAATATATATTTGAAACCTAACATGTTTTCCTTTACTTTTCTATAGTTTTCTTGTGAGTGATCCTTTAGTACAATACAGCCATAACACAAGAGGACAAGTTTATAGCTGTACCGTGTCACAGGAAACTTGCCTGCCAGTGACAATTAATGGTATTTCGTTTTTCATATTTCATATTTACAAGTGATAAGTCTGTTTGACATGTAAAATCTAAACAATTGTAATTATTTATACAATGACAGTGCCTTCTGAAGCGGTTAACATGTCTCTTGGACTTTCTATGACTAAGGATACACAATCTTCTAATTCAGTGGTATGTTGTATGTTCATCCTAAAACACAAATAAATATATATACAGATGCCTGTAGTGATAGTCCACTGAAGGCGAGTAGTAGATGAACCCAAGTGCAGCTTTATTTACAACAGTAATCCAAACTCCAAACATAACCCAAACTGAGACTTGACTTGAACAGACTTGACTCACCGACAGCAGGTACATACATTCAATACACGACGAGAGACAATGGCAACATGATGGCTACTTATAGCAAACAATACAGGTCACATGACAAGAACCAACCAATGAGAGACAGGACACATGACTAAGACAACCAATGAGAACATGAGACATGAACCAAAGAACAAATCAGAACATAACACAAGGTGCGTTCGACTTAACGCAGCACTGCGCAGATCGATCAAATTCTGACTTGAAGCAGTGCATGCCGGTTAGAAATTTTGTCCGACTTGAGACGGCGCCGACACCACGTCACTGTCATGTGTGGCATCAAAGCACCATGAGAGCGTTTCGAGAGCAGCCGGCTGACTCAGCCGGCGCAGTTTCTTCAGAGCGGCTGCAGGAGCGTTGATGACGACACAGCTGTTTCACGATTGGCCAGATTCACCGCATGACAACTATCACGTGTGTTTCGGGTTTATTCTAACCTTTTCAATTCCAATAATAGCCACAAATCTGTGTTTTTAGAACAGTAAAAGCTTTTTTACTGTAGTCGCAATGTTATATTGAGTCACGTTTATCATAAAACACTGATGAAAGCATATATTCCCCCACTTTATTAGTATTTAAATAGTATATATTTACGTTGAACTTTATTCTTGAACAGATGGCGCTGTATTAAGCAGTATATAAAAAGTGTTTCTGTTGCTCATGAAAACGTTTCTGAAACGTCTGTATATCTGACAATTATTGCATTTAATTCACTTCATCTGTGATAGAGTATGCAAACACCATGCGAGCGGTGTTTTGGGTTTATTCTAACCTTTTCAATTCTAATAATAGCCACAAATCTGTGTTTTTAGAACAGTAAAAGCTTTTTTACTGTAGTCGCAATGTTATATTGAGTCACGTTTATCATAAAACACTGATGAAAGCATACATTCCCCCACTTTATTAGTATTTAAATAGTATATATTTACGTTGAACTTTATTCTTGAACAGATGGCGTGGAGCAGAAAGTGTCCGGCTTGACGGCTCTGTTTTCAACTCCGCCCCCTACTGCAAGTGGCTATTCTCGATGACTGCCGTCTGTAGCCGTGCTTCAAATTGAACGCACCTACAGAAAAGGGAATCACATGACATGATCACAAGAGGAGCAAGGAACACATGACAAACCAGGAAACTAAACTTAAAGCATGAATACAAAGCAAAAGACATGAACACCAACACAACCCAAAACAAACCCTAACAATGCCTTATGTAAATGTTGGGCTGAATATTGCACTGATTGGATGATTTTAAACCAGGATTCTGGGATTTATACTTTCAACATTTGATACAATTGATACAATGTTTGACATGTCTTTAATACAATGACTTTCCTTCAGGTTTGTGGTCCAACCATTCCTAAAGACTGCAAAGTGCTTACTACCCTCAATGGTATGTGCTTTATCATGAGCGGAAGCGATGCAGTGAGTGCACCTATACCAAGTGCTTTGAGAAGTTAGTGAAATGAAGAATTACCTAGATTTTTCTTTGTATTGCTGATTGATAATCTAATTACATGCCTGTTTTCCTAAACTCTTCATTCACAGGCTGCCCTCTAGAAATAGACATCGCTTTTCTAATAGATGGCTCTGAGAGTGTAGAAGACGTAGATTTTGTTAAAATGAAAACTTTTGTCACAACAATAATCCAGAGTTTTTCCAACTGCAGTTCTCAGGTAGGAGTCCATATGGCCAATTTTTACATTTAGATGCTACTCAGAAAAGTGTGGTTCACATTGCAGCCCATAACCAATTTAGACAGGAACAGCATGTTTGAATGACATGTAATGCACAGACGTATGTGTTCTTTTTGTATAGTTTGCCATTGCACAGTTCTCCACTGGTTTTGAAATTCACTCCAAGTTTGAAGCAGTCAATGACATTGATTCATGGAGGAAAAGAATAGAAGAGATTAAACAGCAAAAAGGATGGACCTACAGTGCAAAGGCTATAAATAAACTTGTGTACGTCACTTCTAATGTTGTCAATATAGAGTATCTCAAAATGCCACTTCAGAATGTATTCGTGCAAACCTTATTTTATTTGATCCAAATCTCACTTTTAGATCTTCTAAAACTGATTTTGTAGCATATTAAAGGAATAGTTCACCATAAAATGAAAATTTGGAGAAATGTGTCATTGCATCACTGTCTCAGCAATGGATCCTCTGCAGTGAATGGGTGCCATCAGAATGAGAATCCAAACAGCTGATAAAAACACCACAATCATCCTCAAGTACTCCATACCACTCCAGTCCATCAGTTAACATTTTAAGAAGCAGAAACCTGCATGTTTGTAAGAAACAAATTTAACTATAAAATGTTGCTTCTGGCTGAAATATAAGTCCTCTATCGATAAGATTGTTTCCTCCAGTGAAAAAAGCAACAGGAGAAACAACAGGAGATGCACTTTTTCACTAGAGGAAGCGTTAATATGGATTATGGACTCGTAATTTAGTTAAAAACATCTTAAAGATGGATTTGTTTCAACTTTAGTCTTCTCCAGATGTTAACTGATGGACTGGAGTGCTGTGGATTACTTGTGGATTATTGTGATGTTTTTATCGGCTGTTTGGACTCTCATTCTGATGGCACCCATTCACTGCAGAGGATCCATTGCTGAGCAAGTGATGGAATGCTAAATTTTTCCAGATCTGTTGTCCAGAAACTCACCTACATGGCCTAAGGCTGAGCAAAGTTTCAACAAATTTTCATTTTGAATAAACTATTTCTTTAAGGGGTTGGCTGATCTGGAGAAAAACAAATAGTTTTTCTGAGTTTGAAACTGCAACACCCATAAGAAGTAAAGCGCACAAACAATTATGTGACTTCTAATAGCTGTTTTCAACACTATTTATGATGCTTTTCTTATTTCCATTGTACAGGGATGAGCTCTTCGTAACTGAAGGAGGGGCGAGGCAATCAGCAGTTAAAATCCTAATTGTTATTACTGATGGTAGATCAAATGATGAACCTCATCTCAGAGGTGCTGTTGAAAAGGCAGAAAAGAAGAATATTATCCGATTTGCTATTGGCGTAAGATCCACGTTTTCTTTGACTCAAGGCCTTCGAGCGTCAAAAGGGATGCAAAAACTAAAACATAAAAAGAAGAATTAATGTAGTCCTCCAAATAGAGTGTCCAAGTTGTCAACAAGTCACTCTTTTGAGTCATTTTTTTTCATTTAATTAGTTGATTCAGTTCATAAAACATGTATTGAGTACTTTTATTATACTTTCATTGTGTTTTTGTCTTTTTTTTTTAAGTCTGAAAACTCTAGTCCTCATTCATATACAGTGCACTGCATGAAAAGGCACGTTTCCGGACTGTTCACGTCAGCGCACAACCCTGTAAACGGCAAGTTTCCGGCAGTTTCCGTGTATGTGCCCTGGCGTTTCTGACTTATGGACACGGACAGAAACTGACTCTTTTGTGCTCGGCGATAAACCCCCAGACACAGACGGAAATGTTGACACACTCACCGGTAAATCCACTTATCGTCCTGTTCACAAACAGTTAAATCTCCGTAAACGGCCAATCACATATCTCAGTAAACATCTGAAAATTACCGTGCACTTAATATATTTTAAATGCTAACTGGCCTTCTACACAAAAATGCGTCATATGCGCTCATAAAAACTGTAAAGAAAGCCACAAACACAGCAAAGTGTAAACAAAATAATTTTATTTTTCATTTAACTGGACTGCAAATATTATTCAACAAACGCAACAGGACTGCAACATTTAACTAATCATTTAGATTGAGAAAAAGATTTTAAAAACACAGACACTTCAAGAAAATCATTACACTGATTAAACAATCAAATATTTTTAAAAAGAAACAAAAAATGTATACTAATAAAAAACAAACACAATAATGAATACACTTGCAATGGACACTGCAATGTCAGGGCAGTGATTACCGCTTTAACAAAATCAGAGGGATCATAAACATTGCATGCTATTTTTATTTAGTACTGTCCTGAATAAGCAGTTTTACATAACAGATATTTACTAGTGCTGTCAATCGATTAAAATTTTTTTACTAATTAATCGCACATTTTTCTGAAATTAATCGCGATTAATCCCACCTAACAGTAAAGTTTTTCAATATACTTTTATATTGCATTAATTTCACATTCAATCTTCAAATTAATGTGCAAACAACATAAAGACAGTATATATATTTTTTATATTTGTTTAATGGCATCTTTTTTATGACTGAAGGCCAGTATCAATGATACCAATACTGATTTCTCTATAAAATTGCCCTCCCCCCCCAATATTTAACCATTGACTATAGCCATTAAACATTACAGTATAATTAAGAGCTATCAATTTTAATATTTATTAGACTTTAAAAAAATAACTTCTAATTTAAGTGAACTTAAAACAATCTTCACATAAACCCATTATAATAAATGTAATATTTACCTGTGCCCTTCAGCAGAAATGTGTTTTTATTTGTTTATATTTATTGTTATATATGCGTATTTCCCCTCTCAATTTGTGTATTGCTTTACCTAATTAACGTTCTGTATAATTATGCTAGTATTGAATAATTATGCTAGCGCATAGAAAAGTGCAAAAACTGTAAACACCTGACAATTATGCCAATAAAGTTTTGACTTTATGATTGTATTTACACTGGTATTTGACGATAAATTAGCGTGCAGTGTTTTCATTTACAAATGAAACTATGCGAATGATTCATTCATCAATGAAACACTATAGTATTTATAATTATAGTCTATTAATTAGCTGAAATATATGTTAAATTCAACCTTTAAACTGCACTTCCAGTAAAAATTCCCATAAGTCATATAGCATAATCAAAGCTTTATTGGCATGTCGAGCATTTACAGTAGGCTATTATTTACAAAACTATTCAGAACGTTAAGTAAAGAGATCGAAATGAAGGAGAAAAAATCATATACATAGCAACGAATATAAAAATATAACCAATAATTTTAATAATAGTACACAAATATTATGGAAAAAAGATGATCATTTCATGGACTTACAAGACTAAGGGATGGATAAAAATGTTTTCTTGTTATTTTATGTGCTTTATGTAACATTTATTCATGATAAACTTCTTTTGAATTCTGTCTACATCATGTGCAGTACAGTTCGGTAACCTAGGCCTATGGTTAATATAATAATTTAATAATGTAATAATTTCTGCAATAATTAACATTATAAATTCTTAGTTAAAAATAAACTATTAATAAATCCATCTCTGATAATCCCAGGTTGCTATGGTCATGCAGGTTTGTTTACGCATTAAACTCCTGGCCACGAGAAGAATATGTTGTTCCCTCAACATAGGATCTCGAGGCCACGACATAAGGATGTCGTTACCTCAACAAAGCAATCTCGTGGCCACAACATTTTATCACGTTCCCACGAGTTAATATGACGTGGCCACAACAAAACTGAGTGAACTGAAGATGTCCCCTCCCGGTCACCGTACATATGTACATAGGAAGGGGTAAAGAATAAGCATATTTGGCCTGCTGTCCTCTGGGAATGGAGGTGAGAAAAGTGGCAATATATAGACTTACTCTGATGCTAACTGGTTGGATTATCTGAAAATGTTTCTCTCAAACTTTAAAGTAAACTTAATTAAGAATAGGAAAAAATCAAAGCTAGTCAAAGTGCTATCTTGCAGATTTAGTAACTGAATAAAATATAAGATAACCTGGGTAATTGAATGGTATTCAAAAAACATTTCTGTGTGCAAATTACCTGATTGATGACTGTTCTTTGAAGAGCAGCAGTTTTCCAGAAGAATGGCAGCATTGGCTGTCTGACCTCAAACAAAATACATTGTAGATTTTGACACTTAAACTAGAACATTGGCATAAACAAAAGGAGTGAAATTTACGCTACACTTTGGAAATTATGATATATTAACAAATTATGTTGCTAAGATGCACCATTTCTCCTCAGAGGGCGTTTCAGGTGAATCCAAAGTCAGCTGCAGTCAGTGTTTGGAGCCTCTGAAAACAGTTCAGGAGAATGTGTCTGCAGATTTGTCAGTGGGGAATATGTTAACAACTTAAGCACGCTAGCTAAACTAACGTTAATTAATACACATGTACATTTTACTAATAGCTAACTTTTTAAAACTTTTTTAAATTAATGTAGAAGTTGCTAATTACCAGTTAACGTTAGCAGCTTACCAAGATAGCTAACGTTAGATTAATTTTACAACATAAACCCACTCAAATATATACATTAAAACACTTTATGTTATGTTTTGGTAAATAGACTATTTAAAACGTTTCTGTAAATTCTCCCTTACTTTCTTCTGACAACGTTAAATCTCTCTGAAAACACTCGACGGCTGTCACCTCGCGCTGACTGAAGGCAGCTGAAGCGGGAACAAACGGCTCGAAACAGCACCGGGCTAGAAATACAGTTAGAAAGAAATGATATAACATGTTATGTCTGATAAACGTTATTTAAATGGTTTTATGTATGCATACTAACCTTCGTCTAAGTAAAAATCTCAGAAAATCAGCTCGTGCAGCAACGGAGCAGCTGAAGCTGGAATAAACGGCTCGAAACAACGTCATGCTAGAAATACAATTAAAAAAATATTACAACATCGAACAACTTTAATGTTATGTTCTTGTTATGTTATGTTATGTAAACATGTTATTTAAAATCGTTTTGTATATTCACGCTTACCTTCGTCTGAGGTAAATCTCTCATAAAATACCGCACGCCGTCAGCGCACGCACAAAAGCTGCAGTCAGTGAGGCAGCAGGGGAGGAGTAAGAACAGTGATGCTCGGAGTCGATTCCAAAAATATTCGATTCACGGCCGTCAAGGATTTCGAGTCTTGGGTGTTTCAGCTCCAAATGCGAGGCCTGAAATGTCCGTGCGTGATATTACTGTGTTCATTACCTCGATTACCAAACTATAACAAACCCCGAGATACAACACTACCCGCGAATTTATTAATCTCACTCAAATTTTACGATTATGTTAATCAAAGAACTCATTTAGATTAATTCAATTCAGATTAATTTAAACTTGCCTACAGGTTAAAAAATGACTGGTCAATTAATTTTTAACTGATAAACACCCCAAAAAACATGACAGTGCTTGCTCCTTATGACAATTAACCATGGTACATAAAAAAAAACATGGTTATTGTAGTTAAAAACGTGTATTCCTAAAACTGTGGTTATACAAATATGGCAATCAATCTGCCAAAAAAGGTAACTACACTTTTACTATAATAAAACCATGGGTTATTTTCATAAGGGCTGGTATACTGGAAATCTCTGAACATGTTTAGTGTGTGCAATCAGAAATATCCTGTATCCGAAAATCTCAGCACACTTGCCTAGGAAATTTTCGTACACGGGTCGTACACCTTAAGTTTCACTGAAATTTCCATTGTCCTATTTATCCCGGAAATTAGTCTTTTCACGCAGTGGTGACTACTACAGTGTTTACAATTTCAGAGAATAATGATGACAAAAAGGTTGTCTTTGCATGAACTTATCAGTCAAAAAAGTGAGGATTCTTTACCTTTATCTTTGCAATAAACGATATAATAGAACAAAATTTTTGAATGTTCCAAAATGACCTGTCTAGTCTTTTCAATTCCCAAAGATTGGTGAAGCTTTTGATGATGCCCGCACAAAGCAGCAGTTACATGTTATTGCATCTGCTCCTGTTGCTGAACACGTGTTTAATGTGACTGACTTTGACGCATTGGACAGCATCCGTGAACAACTGGAAGAAAACATCGCTATAGAAGGTAAATTTACAAATAAGAGCAAAGAACACGATAAAGGTGTAGATGAGGGAAACAATGAAAATGGAATTGACAGTCAGTGTTGCATGAGTGCTGAATAGGGGTTGAAAGACTTCTGATTTTTTAAAGTCAACTTTTATGTGATGAAAGTCGAGTCGAAGTCGACTAGTCGCTGATGACATCATTAATGAACAAATAAGTCTGGAGCTGTGACAAATACCTTGTGCACAGCTATGGCATATGCCACAGCGCTGCCCACATGGCTATTGCTCCTATAACAGCTAATTTTTATCAGTTCTTTGGGTCATTATATTTCTCACAGATTTCTGTTCATTCTAAATCAGATACAGATAAAGTAGCACAGTAAAGATTACATTCATATGAATGCATTAGTGAGAGCGATTGCGTGTCTGAATTAATTCTACATGGCAGCGTCTCTCTACTAGTACTGAAGCTGTGGGATTTAGTTATTACGAAATATATGCTTGAACTTTTCAGTTTCTAAGCTATTTTATTGAGAAATCACAGAACAGTGTTGACAATAAATTTCCGTGCTAAAAGATTCTGTGCGCGCGCGATCTGCACGAGATGTACGCGCTACTGTCCTATGTGTGCGTGTTACAGTGCAGTAGCACATTAGATTAGAACGGTGATTAACTTACCTGTAAAATAAGCTGTTTAAAACGTGCATTCCTCCGTTCAATTTCAGTAATACAATCATTATAATAATGACTTGTGGAGCGCTTTCAGAATATGCATTTATTTGTAATTTTAACTGTTGGGAAACGGAGCGTAAATGTTGAAGTCCTTCACAGATTTCTTATCATGTTGCGCCCCCTATAGGACCAGTGACTAGTCGACGTCAAGCTTAAAGCGTCATGGCAGAGCATTGAAGTCGACTAGTCGATTAGTCGGTGCAACCCCTAGTGCTGAACAAAAAAACTTCATCTTTGACATTTGCTCACTATGGTCAAATCACAGCCATGCTGATATTGTAACAGCACAGTCACAGTCAATACGTTATTGATTATGGTATGATCTTAGATCATATTCACTTCTTTTAAATACTTTTTTCCCCATATATTCTTTCAGGTGTCCAGACCACTGGCGATTCTGCCACAATGGAGTTTGCTCAGGATGGATTTACTGCAGTGTTTACATCCAATGTAACTCAATTTGCAAGCATTTGAAAAATATTTTTTTATTGAGCATTTTTTTATTGGTCAACTGTTAACAGTTAATGGTAGACAATATCAAAATGATACAACAACAAACTCCTTAAACTAAGAAAATCCTTAGTTATAACTAGGGGTGACCCCGAATAGTCGAAGATTCGATGCTTCGATAGGAGGAGCCCGATTCGACTACCAATCTCACAATCGAATATTCACAGGGTGTTATGATCATGCTATTTTGGCTATATGGGGGTGCTCAAATGTTTGATTGCACATAGAACTACTGGTTTTCTCCCAATATGTTAATATACAGCCTATTAACCCTTTAGGCGCCAGGGTTTTTTGGAAAAATGCTGGATTTTGACATCAAGATTTCAAAAGCTTGTGGCTTGAAAGGGCTTAAAGATAGATATATAATGAAAGTTAGAAAAATGTTGGGCATGACCGAAAGTTTATGTGGGGTGTAAATATACTCATCTAATTTGCATATTATGACGTCATCAGGGGGCGGCCCTCCTGTTCCACAAAAGGAGTTCATTCAGAGCCGCGCAAACACGTTCATGCATTCGGGGCATTTTGTGCAGATAGTGTCACGAATCCTGTCCATGAACTTCCGTCCGCTTGCCACCAGAGGTCACCCTCCCATTATATTGACTTTCACATTACACAGACTGTTGCATGTCACTCTGGACTACATTTCCCATCATCCATTGCACTGATTGCACACAGCTGTAACCAATCACACACACACTATATTACACCCACTCAGATCCTTCTCAAACTGCCAAGTATTGTTTAGCGTATATCCCTCTCCTAGAGATAGCTACTTTACGGAGCCAGTTCTCTGCCTTAGTTGCTACTTCTAGTCAAAGTCTAGTCATAGTCTTGCCTTGCCTGTTTTCCCATGTTCTGATTCTAGCCTGTCTATCTCGTTTCTGTATGATCTCTGCCTGCCCTGAAGTATATCGCCTGTCTTGGATTACCCCTCTTGTCTCGCCTTGTTCAGATACTGTTTACCCCTCGCCTGGACCATCGTCTGTGTTTCGGATTTACCCTTTGGATTACCCTGTTTGGACATTGTTCGCCGGAGATTTACCACACCCGTTCACTGGACTACTCTTGTGTCTTGCCCTCAATATACCTGTTTGCCATTGTCTGACCCTCGCCTGTTTTGACCATGTCTTAATAAAAGCATGCAAATGGATCCGCACGTCTCGTCTCGTTCGCCCCATAACGGCCCTGCTCTTATGTAATATTTTCTGTTATTGGACACCAGAAACAACCACTTGGAAATACTTGTGAATATACACATAGATTCAAGGACCAGAAATTATGTTTAGTTACCTAATGACAACCCCTGATAAATTAACCTAAATTAAAAACAGTCAGTTTGGTGTTGATTCAGTTCAGTTCAATAACTGTAAAGTTAATCAATTATGAAAAAAGCTTAGTTCAGCTATAAGCAGCTCTACAAAAAAATAAGACCATTTAAGCAATAAATCAGCACTACAGAAAACAATTCAAGGCCTACAGTTTAGTTGGCAGAGGATTTAATTTTGAACAGATTTTTTTCTTCTTTCTCAGCCTCAGATTGGATCGTACTTTGGAGCCGAGGTCTGTGTGGTTGATCTGAACTGTGACTCAAAAACAGATCTTCTATTAATATCTGCACCAACCTATGTAGACTCTCATTCTGAAGGCAGAGTTTTTGTGTACTTTTACTCTCGGCAGGTAGGGTAAAATACCAATACCAATCCAAGTCTTTTAAAAGCTTAAGAAACTCATACCCTATATACCATTGTGTTTTTTCTCTTTTTGCAGCCATACTTCACTTTTTCTGTGGCGCTGGTTGGAATGGCAGGTCACAGGGGTCGGTTTGGTTCTTCTCTGGCCAGTCCAGCAGATCTGAATGGTGATGGTTTCAATGATGTGCTGATTGGAGCTCCTTTAGAGGAGGACAGACAGGGCAGCATCTACATCTTCAATGGAGGAGTAGATCAAATCAATCCCACATATTCACAGGTCTACCTATTTTAGTACTTAGCGTTGTTCCTTGAGTTGTACGTTTAACCTTTTGTCGACTGCCACTTTATACCACTTCTTTTTGACCTTTCTTATCAGTTTCCCTGTTCTATTATTCTGTGTGTGGTTTTAGAGAATTGCTGGATCATCTGTACGCTCAGGTTTACAGTTTTTTGGACAAGCTCTGAGTCAGTCCTCCTTAGATCACAGTGGAGACAGTCTACCAGACATTGCTGTTGGATCAAAAGGAGCAATTTTGCTTCTTAGGTACAGTATACGTCCTGTGACTTCAGTATATTCACACACTTATTCTATCTAATAGAATTAACTGATTAATTACAAGTAAACATCCACTAAATTCACAGGCAGTAACATACAGGGCCCAATCTGATCTAGTTAATCCTTATGTTTTGTAAGTGTATAATGTGTACTTTTCTACAACATACAGATCTAGACCCATAGTGTTTGTGGATGTGAAAGTAACCTACAGTCCATCCAAAATCTCAACCAGTCAAACAAACTGCACCAAGCCGCTGGAAAACACCTTGACAGTATGCTTCAACATGAGCAGATACAAACATGCTATAACAGGTTTCGTCAAATTTTATGACAGACTTTGCTATTTCAAAAAAACATTTTTATGCAAATATCATAAAATAGTACTCAATGACATTTCCAGATTTGGCTGCAAATATTAGCTATACGTTAAAGCTGGATGCCAAGCGATATAACCACAGAGCATACTTCTTGCCCAAAAATCATGTCCTCAGTGATGCTGTAAATGTTACACTAGAGGAAGTGTGCAAAGACCATCCATTCCTCATAGAGGTAAGTCACATATCACTCCTTTTGTTGCAGATATTTCTATACCAGTTTCCTGCAATGTGCTATCTGAAACCCTCCACCTCCCCTAGCTCCATCTGTCTAGATCTGCTACAGGACTTATGTATGCCTACTGATGCAGCAGCAGCATATTTCTCATGCTCACAGCAGCATGTTGGTGTATCTGTTGGCAGTAGAAATAAATAAAAATAATAATCGAAAAAATAAAAATGGATTTTTACGAGAAACAATACCAGAGTAAAAAGTAAAAAATCCTTTTAATTTATTATATTGCTTGTCTTGTCCAGGCTTGCGCAGAGGATTATCTCAACCCACTGCTTAATGAATTAATGATCACTTTTGAGGGTCTGCCCTCCCAAAGCCTGGAAAACTTACAGCCTGTTCTCTTACCATGGATAAAGAACACTACATTGTGGATGGTAAGAGACTCATTCAATCCTAAATTGTCACAAAGTGGAAATGGTGCGAACAAATATACAGTATATGAGAACATATGTGCATTTTTAATCATATTACAGTTAGATTATGAGATGAATTGTGGATCAGACAACCTTTGTGTTGACAACCTCAAAATGGACTTAAGCTTTGGGTAAGTTAATGGTGAAGTTCGTTCATTTCTGCATCTTGAACACTCCCCCAACCAGCCACTGGTTGTACAGTCAATTAGACTTAATCTAAAATGAGTGAGATTTAACCATGTGTCTCTTTTGTTTCTCTGATCCAGATCTGCTAACATAGAGGTTGGGATCATGCAGGAGATCAATGTGACAGTGTTTGTAGAGAACAAAGGAGAAAACTCATACAACACTCACTTCACCCTCAACTACCCCTTTGGACTTTCCTACAGGAGAATTATGCCTCGAGTGGTAAGACAGGATGATGTTCATGGCATGTGGGTTTAAATACAGCAAGAATAGCTCATTATTTAACATTATGAAGATCAAGTTTAATAGTTTAAGTGCATAAAAATATTTTTAAAAGAAATATCCATCCATTTTCCAAACCACTTGTCTTATGTAGGGTCATGTGGATGCTTAGAAAAGGATTTTACAGTATTTATGATCAAGAAAACCATTTTTTTCTGTTTGAACAGGGCAGAGCAAATTGCCATTCTATAGATGGCATGCGAGGAATTTTATTAGGGGAGACCATCTGTCAGGTCAACAAACCTCTATTCGCAGGAAACGCTTCTGTGAGTTGAAATCTGTGTGAACAGACACACAAATAGATACAGAGAGGTCTAAATATCTGAGACCAAATCTGAGGTTCAAAATATACTTGGAACTTGGAAATAAGTTTTAGTGATAATGCGTGATTGAGTAACTCAAGCATTGCCAGAAGGCTTCTGCAATGACATATCAGAAAGACACCCAGATTCTAATCATTCATACCGTAAAGGGATTCACTGTAGATTCTGAAGCCTCTGAGGAATTTGTAAATGTCAATGAATACCCTAGTGGAAAAAAAAACTATGGCATAATTTCTTTAAAATATATTTATTTCATAAGAAGCATACTTCAAATCCGTCAACATATATATTGACATATCACTTAAGACTAGGGTGGCCATATGTGCCATTTAAATGGGACACGTCCTGGCCAGGATTTTTATATTGCCTAAAACATCCAAAGTAGTTTGACCAATAACATGCAGATATTGTACATAATTGACCAATCGACAGTGCAAACAGCCAAAACCTGGATATTTTAGGCAATATAGAAATCCTTACAAGGGAGCGTCCCGAAAAATGGCCCGTATTTTCACCCACTTAAGACCTACTGATATACAGAGTTCTGGCATGAAACTCTAGCTGGCACAGTCCGATAGGTCTAACTCAGTCTGACCTAATGACATTATTATCACATGGCACATCTGGTTGGTTTTCTCCTGTATCAGTAGCCAATGAGCTTGCTGCTCAACATTCAAATATATGATTAGTGCTTGCAGTAGCAGTTGCAGCTTGCTTCAGAACAGCGAAATCAACATCTAAGATAAGTGAATGCTCTTCTAATCCATCCAT